ATCAAAGATTTATTTTCCAAAAACAGTAGAAATCTTTTTCGAAGACTAATTTTATCACATTTAAAAACTTTATCTTTTAAAGAAAAATAACTAAATATAAAATCATTCATAAAAAGAACGTTACTTATTTTTCTTTGACTGACCCATAAGGAACTGACTGGTCACCTAGTTCCTTCCAAACTGTCAGACTTAGTTCCTTCTAGACTAAAGCTCCAATTTAGTTCCTTAGGCTTGTTCTATACAATTTCTCTTGTCCAACATACTTACATGATTCTTAGAAAAATATACTCCTATTTTTCTGTCGTTTTCATATTTTTCTGATGAAGCTTCTAGTTCCTTGAAAGGAACTTCTCTTTGTTTGTTCCATTGAGGAACTGCTTCTTGTTCCCTTCGTCGAAGAACCAACTTCTAGTGCTTCTTAGGAGTTGCATATAAAGTCTAAAAGAACGTTTGGACATTTAGACTTCTTCTCTTTGTGTTCCCTTGAGGAACTCTTCTTTTTGTGTTCCCCCGAGGAACTCTTCTTCTCCTTATGTTCCCTTGAGGAACTCTTCTCTTTATGTTCCCTTGAGGAACGAACTCTTCTCTTTGTGTTTCCCTGAGGAGCTCTTCTTTTTGTGTTTCCCTGAGGAACTCTCCTTCTTGTGTTCCCCTGAGGAACTCAAGCATGATTCATACTTTGTAATCTTCAATAATGATCTAATTTGTAATCAACATTCTTCATGCTTCATGGCCTGTTCATGCTCATCTCAATACACGTATTAGTTAGATAATCATCATTTGTTATCTATCATCAAAAACTAACAACAATATGGACGAAAGTTGGCTAGAAAATATTTCAAATTACATTATATATATAGGGATCATCAGTTTAATTAATTTTTGCCAAGTTACTCCAATTCTTCCCCTAAGTTGGTAAAATATCTCATATATAGGGGCATCACAATTCTTCACTAACTTAGTATACAAATTTGCAATAAAATTCATTTCATGGGAGGATCATAATCAACAAAATTTATCTCTCATAAGAATTATATTAAACAAGTTTTATCTTTTCTAGAGAACAATTTTTAAATCATTTCTTCATTAGCTATACAGTGCATAACGCATATGTATTTACTATAAGATCTTTCATAATTTGTTCTCTTTAGGAGATCAATAATTCAACATCAATGGGGAGACATATGTTGTGCAGTTGAATTTCCTTCTTTTCTCATTTCTTATGTGCTGACATATAATAGCCCCAATCAAAGGAATTGTTATATAAGCATAAATCACTTGCTTATAATTCTAATAGGTGGTGATCTTCTGGATCTTTAAAGACTTAAATAGTGTATTTGGTGAGCTTCTGGTCACCTAATAATTGACAATAATATATAAGTTACTTTGGTGAACTTCTAGTCACCCAATACTCTTTTATATAAGAAATCAAAACCTAATAACTCTTGAAATTTTCATCAATACAAATTATTATGAATCACAATCCAAATATAGCTCAATCTCAATATTATATCTTTCCATTCAATTCATTTTATATATCTAACATTGCGAGAGAATCAGCACATTATCAAATAAAACTTCAGGTTTCCATAACGGGTAATTATTAAACCCGGATGACCTAATTTAACTATCACATCCAATCACTTCTCTAAATTTGAACTCTGGTCAGTTTTCCAACACTAGTGATCACTTTATTAAACGTACTTTATACATGGACATGAATATGATGTGATATTAGAACACTAACATGTGTTTCTTTATACTATTGGCAAGACAATCAGCTAATATTTGATCCAATATTAACTCATACTCTGCTGGAGTATAATCTTGATACATGCTAACCTTGTTGGACATTTTATACTTTTTTGGAGTATTTTAGAGATCTATTCAAATGCATCACCTCGTCAAATTATTGTCAATAATTGCTCCTTTCCTATTTGAAGTTTATTTGGAACTCATTGGGCTATCATGCTACTGACGTTCTTTAGGTTCATTAGATCATTTATAGCCGGTATATAGTCAATGACATTTATTCATTTCCATCTTCAGGATGGTATATATCATTACAAAATATTTAATTAACATGTGGCCACTTCATTATATTATATAAATCGTTGATATTTAGGTTAATGTATGTACCAAATAAACTGACCAGCAATATATTTTATTATTTGTGTGCAAGGATTACATAAAATAATAGAATAAATACAACAACATTTAAATCTCTTCCACCTTTTAAGGCATAAATTCTTTTACCAATGCATGTATCAAGCATAATAAAATACTCTTATAAAAAACTCAACTCGTAACTCTTGTCCAATAATATTAATCTCTTATAAGTATGAGCATAATAAATATATTTTGTAAGTAAGTTGCTCATAATGTCATGATTAATTTCTTAAACTCATAACACTATTTCTTGTTCAAATGGATATTCTTATGAATATTTTTTTTCATGAATAATATAATTAAAAGAACATCATGCAAATATGCTTATTAGTTTTTTTTTTTTTTTTTTTTTTTTTTTTTTTTTTAATCATGCGATTTCTCACTCACTTCTGGGAATGAGCTAGTGAGTCTAATTAGCTATCATTCATCAATTTGATCTCAGACAGAGTTTTCTATTAAAAAAAATATTCAACCAAAAGAGAGATACATCAACTCCTTATTTATATATTTTAACATGATGGATAATCTAGTCAACATACTTTAGAAACTATATTAGCTATTTCTGTTTTCATAATATTATTGAAGGTCTTTGACCCTTGCTTTCATAAATTTAGGTTACTTCAGATCCATTGTATATACAAAAATTACATGTTCAAATAAATTCATTTTTATAAACCAACTTCATGTAGTCATATGATATCGTATATAACTAAATTCAATCATACATTAATCAATATTTCAGCATTATAAGCATGTAATTAATATTAAAAAACAAAATGTGAAACTTCAAGTCCCAAAAATGGGGATGGGAATGAGTATTAGCTTGAAAGTTGACCATTTCATTAATTATATGTCGGATCTCATATTATCATCACTTACTATAATTTATCAATCAACTCCTTTTCCATCTAATTAACGAAATAAATGAATAAAATAAAACAAGATGGAATACGATTAACATAATTCGAGGTCAACTAGAAAAAATCTATATAGTCAATTAAGTATGTGACATCATGCATTCAAATATTGCAATCTCAATCAAAAAGATAATTAAAAACAATACTATCTATCATCAAAGAGCTAAATCATACTCATGAATTATATTTCTTGATAATGACTTTAAATATCTTAAAGCAAATCTTCATATGGTGAATGAGATTATTTCGTCACCCACTTACAAGTAATTACATTCATAAAGTACAAGCAATATTGATCATCTTTAAAGACTTCATTGCATTTTCATGAAAATTTAGTCCACAAAGTTTAATCCATACCCATCAAGTTAAAGTCACTTAATTCAATCGGAGTTAAGCTCTTTTAACAGCTCAATAGACTTAAAACCCAATAAGTATTCTCCATAACAAAACAAAACTAGTGTGATTCTCTTTAGTAGTGAACTTAACTACCAAACGCATGTCATCTATCTTAGGGAGTATAAGGTCTAAACATGCCATTTAAAATAAATACTATAAATGAGGACTTATTAGTTTGGAAACCACTTAGATAAATATATTTATCATAAAATATCATAAGTAATTGATATTCTTAAGATAAAGCTAATCAAGTTTGATAGCCCTAACACATAACAAAAATCATACAATAAAGCTATCAAGTTTGATATTGTTAGAATACGTTTATCATATACGAAGTATTCTATAAGAATTTATATACATCTTATTTACTAATTTAGTTAGTATATGAACTTTCCTCAGTGTTAGCAAACATTTAGCTATTTTAATGTGTCAAAGATAGCTGTCAAACATTATCTTTTAGTAGCTTAACTTTTAGCTTGTAATTTGTACATATATTCACTAATTAGCAATATAACACTCACGAAATAAATCAATTTCTTTCATGGTATAAGATACGGTTACGATTCTAAAATCATCAAACAAAATTATAATATGGATATGTTAAAATGACATAATTTATTTACTATTCCTTACATTAATCCAAATACGGAGTAAACAATATGAAGCAACCAAACTTATTCAAGATAAAACTAGGATTAATCTCAAAGTCGATCAATCAAAACCAAGAAAATTATTAATCCGACCAGCTTTGCAAATAAATCTATAATTGGTACTGTAATACGGAGTACAAGGTAAATTAACGGAGATGGAAAATCAATCATCATCATATATGTGATAAATACACTTATAACCACTTAGCTAATTTGCATATAGATATGTTACACTTCCACTACCATCAAATTACCTTTTGATAAGTCAAATTATCACATCATACAAGCGTAAAATAAATATATTAATACTTGCTTATCGAACAATTAATATTAATAACTCAACGTAATAAGTTAAAAAGAATTGGATCTAATAATAATACATATAAATAACTATTAAACAAAATTGCAGAAATAAGATTCCAGACTTCGGAACTATACAGTTTTGCATCCGAAACTATATTAAGAAAAGGATTTAAACACTACAATATCAATCATGCATGTTACAAGATAATTAACCAAATCGTAATATAGTTTTGTGGTAAAGTTGCTAGTTAATTATGTCATGTTAGTGGGTGGTAGGTTTATTAGAAAATTGAAAGCAGAAGAATATAAACCAAACTAATCTATTGTGCAGATGATCAATTGTACTCACGATACTCAAGAAATTCTATAACATAATCAAAATAGGGGTGACTACATACCTGATCACGGATGAATTATATATGCGTCGTAATGTAACTAATTCGATCAATTATATTGAGTTTTGGTGCTGATAACGTGCTATAGAGCAAGAAGAAATATGAGAGATAGGGAGAGAATTAATCTATATATCTTATTCCATATGATGGCAAGGTATATATATACACAATATAATTAGGGTTTGGTTGGATAAGAATATAAATCCTAGATCTAGATTCTTTTGGAATGATACAAGGAAGGATAATGGATATCCACAAATATTTCATAACACAAATGAAATTTTTTGTGACAGTGTTTATAAAAAAGAGAAAAAGAAAAAGAAAATCACCAAACCTGGCCTCAAAATGGGCCATAATACAATAGCATTTATAGGGGTAATCCATCCCACCCAAATAAAGAAGATGTAAAAAAAAAAAAAAAAAAAAAAAAAAGGCAAATTGAACAACTTTGCTAAATCAATTACACCAATCTCCAGTAAACTGATAACCCCCTTTCAGCTCTCACTCGCCATTTAAGGCTCTGGTATCTTTCTATTCTACACTCCTTTATTTTACTTACTTTTTTTTTTTTTGTAATTTTCATGCTTATTTCAATTTCAACTCTATGTTATTTTAGTTCATTTCACTCTGAAATTTTAATCTAGTATGTTCACTCTGGTATGTTATTTGTTTAATCTAGTATAATTCTGGATGTTCTTGAGAAATATGGTGGTAATTTAGCTTTGGCAGTGGTGTTAGTGGTGGTTGTGAGGTCTTCAGTTTTACATATAAGGCAAAAGAGAAAGAGGTAAAATTGTAATTTGATGCATCAATTTCTTGGAAGGAATTCTGCTAGATAGTTGATTTAAGATTAGGGAAATTCCCAGTATTATACATTGATTTATATTATAAACAGTGATTGTTGATCCAATGCTTCGGGTGAATCCAATTCCTTGGGTGTGATGGATAGTGAGTCACTTGTATATATGATAATGAAAATAGTTAGTTAAGTAGTAATCCGATAATATAAAGGGGAGGCCGGGAGGGATTAATCTCCTATACTGTTTGTTTATGTTTCAGTGTTTGGAGCAGTGTATCTGAATTTTAAGTTGAGCTCAGCTCTCTAGTGATGAAAATGCTTGGTTCTGAATGTAATTGGTGTAGACCATTTCGTAGAGATGCTTGTTGTTGTTTGCCAATAACAATGTATGGGTTAAATTGTGAATTTTCCATGTTTGGCATGGAATTGTTGATCATTTCTCACACTGCTTTTGTCCACATGTAAATGCTAATAAATCTTAAGTAGTCAAATACTTATGTTTTGCGTGTTTAACATAATCTCGTACCCTTATAAATTTATAATGTGTTGGGGCTCTTATACTAGTTTAGTCTTTACAAAATTTAGCTGGTGGATTGGTGGTAATGGAAGAGGTGAGGGTGTAGAGAAATCTGGGGGAATTGAAATCCTGTGGGGTGTGATGATAGTGAAGTAATACTTGTAGATGATAGTTAAGTGATCCCGATAATATGAAAAAAGTTAGTTTAGTAGTATTCCTGATAATATAAGGTGGAGGAATTATAATACTACGTATGAAAAAAGTTAATTAAGTACCCTTATACTGTATCTGTTTCGGTGTTCAGAGTAGTATATCAGAATTTCAAGCTAAACTCTCTAGTAATGAAAAGGCTTGGTTTTGGATGTAATTGATGCATACCATTTCATTGAGCTGTATGCTGCTATTGTTTGCCAATAATCTGTGGATGATATTGTGTATTTTTCACATTCGGTTTGGAATGTTGATTGTAATCCACACTGGTTAATACTTATGTTTTGTGCTTTCGACATTATTTTGTAGCCGTTTTTTCAGCTCTGGTTCTACAGACAATTTGTTTTAATTGCTGCATATTGTGTTGGGGCTTTTATACTTGTTTGATCTTTACAAGATTTAGCTGGTGGATTGGTGGTAAGCTAATGGAAGAGGTGAGAGGATTTAGAAAAATCTGGGGGAATCGGAAATCTGTGGGGTGTGTGGAATCAGTGAGTCGTTTGGGGTAATTCCGTACAGAATATTAGAGAAATGAGACCAAGAATTTTCAAACTAAATACAACAGTTAACAGTTATGAAGATTATTGATTTTCTTGTGGTCTATTGTACCCCCAAAACAAATAGGCCCCTGTTTCTTCAGCATCTCTATTTTGACTGTTAGCCATTTTGGTGCTAGCTCGTAGTATTTACAGTAATGCTGTAGGGCTCTTAATTTCTAAGTTTGGTCTTTCAAAATTTTGCTGCAGGAAAATTGGCAGAAACAAGCTTGGAGCTGTATTCAGTGATGGCCAGTGTTCTGTTTTCACCAACATTTCACGGCTCAACTATCCGAACCAGCACAGAAGTTAAAAGGCGTGATCATAAACTTGGCAGAGTTTGTTGTGTAAAGGCAATGAGAGTAGAGAAGTCTTTGGAAGAACTTTATCAGATAAGGGTAGAAAGAAAAGTATCTCCTAAGAGATTAGATGAGCTTGGTGTATCAAGATGGTCAGTATGGAAGACCGGAAAATGCAAATTGCCCTGGGACTGGCATGTGGACCAGCTTGTCTATATCGAAGAGGGAGAGGTTAGAGTTGTTCCGGAAGGGAGCAAAAAATATATGAGTTTTAAGGCTGGTGACCTTGTGCGCTATCCCAAGTGGTTCGAGGCTGACCTGTGGTTCAATGACTTTTACCAGGAGCGTTATAACTTTCGAGCTTATGGTGATGACTAGATGTAAGATTTTTCGGATTCATATAGTGTATGATTTCAGTAAAATTAGGATATATATTGCTAATTAGATGTAAGAATTCTCTGTTTTGCGACAATTTTGCAACTGCACGACTGAACACTTCAATTTCGCACTTTTAACTGTTCTAAGTTCTAAGAAGATAATCCACATTCTCGAGTTAAAAAAGAGAACGTGGATTATCTTCTTTACGTTATGCCACTTCTAACAATACCTCCTCAAGATATCTCCTGACGAGCCATTTGAAAAAAAGTCATTGGTTCCCCATGAATGTTGAACACCACTCGATGAAGCCTCATTCATAGAACTCGAAGTCAATTGTTGAGTACTATCATAAATCTTTGAAGCATCTGGGATGGCGGTGAGGTAGCGCATCTCATCATTTTGATTGTACTCATTATTTGTATCATTATCTGTAAATTGACCAAAAATAAATGATTAATAATTAGGAAATGTCAAAAAGCAGGCACAAAACACGTATTTTTTTAGTTTGCAAATTTCTAACAAAATAAGGTAAGATGTGTACATATTATTGTACGTTCATACGGAGTTTGTGATTGATTATCATCACAAGGAACGTAGTTAAGCAGATCTTCAATTTCCCATGAACGCGTACGTTTAACACCACTAGACAAAGCCTCATTCATAAAGCTTGAAGGCAGTTGTTGAGTACCATTGTCAAGTACCATTGAGATATGGTTTCTCATCTCATTATTTTGATTGTAATAATCATTATTTGTATTATCTGTAAATTGACCGAAAAAAGATATGATTAATAATCAGGAAACATAAGAAACCTTTTTTTTTTTTTAGGAAAAAAACATAAGAAACCTTGCACAAAACACGTATGTAATAGTATGTTTTTTTGTTCGCAAATGTTTTTTTTTATTAAAAAAAAAAATAAAAAAAAAATAAAAAAAAAAACCGTACATATTGCACCTTCATGTAGAGTTTGCATTTGAGTAACATCATAACGTATGTGGTTATGTGTGTCTTGAAGTCTCGTGCTAACCTCTAGGATCGATAACGAATCATGATAGTTGTTTGGATCGGGATGAGCTTTCATTATATAGTGATAATGCTTCTCCAAAGTACCGGGTTTGAATTTTAAAACGTGCGGACTGCAAGAAAATTATTAAACCAGATCGATCATATATGGTATACTATACTAATGTATTTGTTTAAAGTTAACATAAATTTATAAGTAGAACATGAACCATATATTTTGTATACCGTACGGAGGAAGCTTGGTTGTCTGTGAAATCGAAAGATGACTCCTTCCAATCTGTATGTTTACAAAGAGATGGTGAATCATTTTCGACAAAAAGTGAGGGTTTGTTGTTTAATTAGTTATTAAAAAATAGGTAATATAAGTATGAATAACATCCATATAAGTAACGTATATATAATTAAGTGTGGATCTACAACTTTATTATCTCCATAATTTGATCTATTTATATATCTAGTAATTGCACATGACGAAGACAAAAATCTTCCAATCCCTCACTTGTCTGAGACAAGTGTGCAATATTCAAATTCCTTAAGTCAATATGTGTCGATTTGATAATATGATTGCATCACATGTCTAGATCATATTAATCTACAAATCATTTCTTGAAATCTGAGTTCGAATTACAAAACCAAATGATTACTAAGTAATACAATTGAACGCGGCCACGTATTTTCTGAATTCTCCCTCTTCAAGCGGTCATGACACGTTCCCTAATTAAATAGGTAGACTCAATTCAATCTTATAGCAATAAAGCTCCCACTCAACTTTTGAAGTAACCCGGAAACATCCTTAATTATAACAATTCTTTCAAAAAAAAAAAAATAATAATAATAATTGGAAAAAAATGTGGAAGATATTACATAACATGCCACAGGCGTCACAAAAGAGTCAAATGTCAATCAATATATAGCCACTTGCACACTACACAATTTTATTCGGATGCATAAATTTGGCATACCAATCATTCAACATGATGCGAATATAGGAGATGCAAATTCAACTATATAAGCACAATAGCGCAAAGATAGTATGGACATAGTGCGACATCATATACCACTTCGAATTTGGAGGGCTAATCAATCGGATAGCGACAATGAAAGTGATAACAACCAAGATCAAAGCAACAATGAAGATGATGAAAATCACAATCATATGAAAGTGGATGGTTAATTCACCACGATGTTAGACTCTAATCTAATTATGTTCCTATTTTGATATGCGATTGAAATAATTTGAAGATGTTAAACTGTTGTCTTTTATCTTTCTACTATTAACATATGTTATATATGGTACACATTTATTTAAGTTTTCACTCACCTAAATCAATGGTATACGCACTTAATAATAATAATAATAATAATAATAATAATAATAATAATAATAATAATAATAATAATAATAATAATAGTAATAATAATAATAATAATAATAATATAATCCTTAATAATCATAATTATTATTATTACTGTTATTATTATAATTATTAAATATTAATTATTTATTATTATTATTATATAAATGTTATTATTATTATAATTTAAATTAATTATTATTATAATTATTAAATAATATTTATTATTATTAAATACAAAATTTTAATAATAATATTATTATTAAATAATAAATAATTATTATTAAATATTATTTTTTAATAGTATTATTATTATTTAATAATAATTATTTATTATTATTATTGAATTGATTAGTATTATCATAATAATTCAATATTAATTATTTTTATTATTAAATATTAATTTATTATTATTATTATTTAATATTAATTATTATTATAATTTTTAAGCAGAGTAGAGTAGAGAAAATTGAAGCAGAGCAAATTTCGGCAGAGTATAGCAGAGCAGAGCAGAGCAGCTCTAAAGAACAGGGCCTATGTCTTTTTTTCCCAGCAAGAGGAATTAGACAAGGAATCCCTCTTTCACCGTACGTTTTTGTCCTTTGTCTTGATCGTTTATCTTGTATGATTCAAGATAAAGTTAATGATAGATCTTGGAAACCTATGAAAATTGCAAAAAAATGCCAATATATCTCATTTATTCTATGCAGATTAGATGACGTGTTCCTTTTTTAAAAAGCTTCTTCCAATAACATCAAATTAAATCAATGATGGAGGTTCTTGATCATTTTAAATGCATTTAAGGTCTATCCATTAATATCCTTAAGTCGTCAGCTATAATGTTAGGAAATCCAAAATCTATTTGTGATTTATGTAATATTACCAATTGTAGGGAATAATTTCAAGCTTTAATCCCACTAGCTTGAACCCCACTGTTATCATACACTAAAGTACGGTGGCTGATAGGTCGTCGTCGAGCCTACCAAAGATAAAAATCTAACTTGGTCTCTCTAATGGGTAGAAAGGGCAAGTAAGGGTCGATCCCACAAGGTCTAAGGGGAGCACTAACAAGTATCGATTTGTGATACGTTAAGTCAAGACTTTTTGGGTTTTGAGTTATAATGAAAAACTACAAACAATAATAAAAAGGATCTTGGGAAGGTATCCACCAATTAAGTCATTCACAAACTAAAATTTAACATACAAAACATAGCAATTTGGAGATAAATTAGGGGAAGTCATCTAAGGCACCCAACTACTCTCTCAAGCTAGATGGATTACTTGAGTTATGAATACAACCTACTCTCGTGGTTACAAAGCATAAAACAAGTGTTAAAGAATTATCACGATGACATAAACATTCCCTTGACTGGAAATTCCTATTCTCATGGCATTTCAAGTCAATTAAGCATAAGGCAGCTAACTCAAGTTTATCTCTCGATCCTTCGTTGAGAAAGCTTACATAAATAGTTCTAGCAATGGCCACTTACAAGAACTAACAATGAAACCACTTAAACTTAACTAATTAACATCCCACATTAGCTAAATCAACACATGCAAACAAGTATTTGTGAATTCATCAATGGTTTCAACCATCCCAAGTAAATAAACTACTCACAAAACATTATAAATTCCAAAACTAAGGGAGTTAACAACTAAGAACATGAATTCAAACACTAATCTAACATAAACAAGTAATTAAACTAGAAAAGATGCAAAAATAAGTAATTAAAGCAATAAAATAAGAGAGAGAGTAAGAAATTCTCATTGATATTGCAAGAAATAATCAAATCTTCAAGTCTTCTTCCTTCAATTCTTCATATTCCAAGCATTCAACAAGTTTTTCTCACTTTCTCTCTCTAAAAAATGAGAGTTTCTCTCTCTAAAAACCCTAAACTAAGATAAAACTACTCTAAGAAGATCCCCCCTTACAAATGAAGCTAAAGGGGTATTATATAACCCCCAAGTAAAAGGACAGAGAACACGAGGAAACGACCCGTCTACAGGTCAGCACGGACATGCCAAAGGTTGCACGGACGTGCAGACCTGTTAAAATACGACCAGTAGCTACTGCCTGACCTTGCACGGACGTGCAGTGACTTGCACGGCGTGCCACTTATTGGCACGGACGTGCAGCTCTTTTCTGGCGAAACAACTTATTTTTGGAAGGTCATAACTTCTTCGATACTTATCGGAAATAGGCATGTGACCAGTCGTTGGAAAGCTCTTGAATGAAATTTAATCTCCAATTTGAATCACTTCAAAATGTTGAGTGGTACAAAAGTTATGGTCAGTTGAAGTTGACCTTAGTGCAAAAATCCTTCCAAAACTTTCCAAAAGCTTTTCATTTCTCTTTAAGGCACTCATCCTTCTTCCTTAATTGCTCTATCAACCAAGCTTTCCCTTCTCCTTGTTCACTCATGCTTGATCACCTCCATATATAGTGCTAAAAATAGCTACGTTACATCAAAAACATTAACAACCCGTGAAGCATGGATGGTACAAAATTTGTATAAAAATAGGATAAATAATGAACTTTGATGTCGAATAATCACGAAAACAAGGTTCAAAAGTACCCTAAAATCATACCAAATAACAAGTTATCAAATCCCCCCAAGCTAAGCTTTTGCTAGTCCTCGAGCAAAACAAACATGTCAAATCAAGAAGGAAGATAACTTGCTAATGATCAAACCAAGAAGAGGTAATAAAGAGGAAACACAAAAACACAAATCCGCATGGTAACAACCATAAA